GGGCCCCGGCCGGCGCTCCCCCTCGCCCAGCCGCATCCTGCCGCAGCCACAGGGCGCTCCGGTGTCCAGCACGATGGCCAAGGCCATGGCCCGCGAGGCCGCACAGAGGGTGGCCGAAAGCAGCAGGGTAAGGCCAGGCCCCTTATGATGGCTCCTGTGTCCTGGAGCCGGGCGTCCCCAGCTCTCAGGGACCAGCTTCTGTGATGGGCTCACAGGACAGGAGTCCAGACCTCACCCTGGCAGTGGGTGCTTCTGGGGAGCTCGGGCAGGGAGGGGTGGGCAAGCACTGCCCTCTCCCAGCCCACAGGGGAAGTGGGTGCTCACACACACACACCTGGAGCCCAGAGGCCTGTGGGGAGGGCGGCCATGCTTCGCCTCAGGCTTCCCCTTCCACCACATCTTGAGCCTGGTCCTGAGGGAATGAAATGGTGATTTTATTCTGCATTTATGTAGCCAGATCAGCGAGGGAAGAGCAGGTGCCTGCCCACTTAGCAGGTGGGCAGAGACAGAGCCACACACAGGCGCTGGTCTGTCCAGGGGTCCGATGGCCACCTGGGAGGTCGGGGACCAGCCTCCTGAACTGGGCTTTCTTGTCCCCTTTAGAGTCCTGGTTGCGTGTGTACACATATGCAGATGTATGTAGGCATGTACGCACATCTAGACGCATGTATCTGTCCACATGCTTACACGCACACACATCCACGTATAGAGGCACACATGGCCATCTGCGTCTGGAAGGGCGGAGGGGGAGACAGAGATGTGCCCCTTTCTAGGGACAGCAGCCAGACTCCGTTTGAGAGCTGGCACTTCCGGGGGAGCCCCAGGCAGTGAGGGTGACGAGGGCGGCAAACAGCCCTGCCCATGGCCCATGGCATCAGCCTTGCCCGCTGAACCCCCGGGAGCCCCGAGGCAAGGATGCCCCACTGCTGGAGAGAAGGCAGGCACTCGGGGTCAGGTCACCGCCGGGCTCCAGTGACCCATGGAGGCAGGGAGATTGCTGTGTGTCCACAGGTGGCCTCCAGCGAGGGTGGGCGGGAGAGATGGGGCTGGGCCTGGGGCGGTAGCATGTGGCTTGTGACGGGGGCCCCTGGACTGAGGGTCTGCCGGGGAAGGGCCGCCCAGTGCGCAGCGGCCCATGGCCTCTGAGAGCTCAGCTGACCGCGGGCTTCCTTTCTTTCCAAGTTAGAGAAAAGGAGCATCTTCCTGGAGAGGAGCAGTGCAGGGCAGTATGCGCCCTCAGACGAGGAAGACGCCTACGAGGCCCCCGACGTCAAGCGGAGGGGCGCGTCGGTGGACGACTTCCTCAAAGGGTCCGAGCTCGGCAAGCAGGTGAGGCCGCACGCCCAGGCCACGATGCCTGGGGCCAGGGCTCAGGTGCCCATGGGGGCTGGAGACACAGGGAGCTTCCCTGCCCCTCAGGCCCTGAGAGGGACGTGGACACGCCACGCCTGGCCACGATGGCCACACTAGATCCTTGAAGTTCAGGTCAGCGCCGCCCGTGCACGTCACTTCATTCAGGCAACTCACATGTCTAAATGCTCCCCCCCGCCCCCACGGCACATGCTGGTGTCCCCACGGGGCGACTGTGTGAGGTGGCGAGGGTCAGGCCACGGGCCACCCCCTGTCTTCATCCAGGGAGGATATGTATGTGGTGTGCTAGGCGGCTCATGGGATTCAAGACTCACACGGTCGGTGCCTCCCCTCGGGGCAGACGTCAGAGCGGGTCAGAGGGACATACTCGGCCAGCTGGGTCCCATCTCCAAGGTCTGGTCACGCTTGTTCTAAGGGAAACACCCTGCATGGTGGAAGGACTGGAACTGGACCCAGGAGGGTCGGGAGCAGCCAGGGTCTGGGGGACCTGCCACCTGTGACATGTACACCTCGGCAGTTGGACTGCGCTACCCTCTGTACTGGCTCCTGGCCCCGGACCCAGATGGGGGCAGTGGGACCCCACGGGCCTGGGTTCACACCCTGGCTCTGCCACCTCTATGAGGTTCACATTATGCTACTCACACAGCAAGTAGGACGCCGGCTAATCACGACCAAGGGGACAGCCACCGAGTGCCCACATCACGGGAAGGCTACAGGTGGACTTGCAAGGCTGACTCGCTGCCCAGTCATGTCCAGGGGCTGGGCTCTGTGTCTCTGGTCTCTTGGCTTTTCCCTCATGGTTACAAAGTGGCTGCTAGAGCTCCAGTAATCACACACGCACATGATAGCTCCATCTGGGTGCATGGAGGCCAGATTGCTGCCCAAACTGAGCCGGCGGAGTTCCCGTGCCCATGACCAGACGGGAACCGAGTTCCCACAAATGGCCTGGCAGTGCGGTGGCATCCAGGAGCCCACCCAAGTGGCTGGACTGCAGTATCATCCTGCGAGCCGGGAAGAGACCGTCTCTGCGTGCGTGAGCGGGGAAGGGGGACCTTCTTGACAGGGGTGAAGGGCAGTCCAGGGTCTCGGCCTCTCCCAGAGGCCACACTGCATATTCAGCAGCAGGTCTGGGGGCAGCTGTACTTACCTGTGAAGGGCTGAGTGCACACGCAGTGGGGCAACGTGTGACATGACGTGTTCGCTCTGGGGTGGGTTTTAGCATTACAGTGAGGCCGAATTCTGCTGTCTTCATCAAAGGGTGACCCACAGGACACAGACAGTGGAGAGTCCTCCTGGGCCAGGCAGAGCTGTCGTGGTTGGGCGTACACCTGATGGGCTTGATGGGTGCCCAAGAGCATCCGTCCTTGGGACTTTGATGAGGGTGTGGCTCTTCCTGACCCCCCAAATCCCACCCCCCACAGGCCCCGTCTGTCCCCTAACCTCGGCCGTGTCAGCTGAGAAGGGGCATCTTTGTGGGCCTCTCGGGTCACAGATGTCTCATGTCCTCCCCGGGTGCCAGCACCTGCATGTCAGGTAAAGCTGGAGTCCTGGCAACACGGGGAGGGAGCTAGGCCTGGCAGGCGGCCACGGCAAATGCCACACGCGGGCGGCTTGAGCAGCAGGGCCTCCTGCCTCGGCCGTGAAGGCGGCAAGGCCAAGGTCAAGAGGAGCCTCCCTCTTTGACTTCCAGATGGTGTGTTCTGTGTCCCCGTGTGACCTTTCCCTGGGCGTTCCTCGGGCATCTTCCTCTTCTTACAAGGCTAGTCACACCCTTATGGCCTCGTTTAATTTGAGTCACCTCCTTAAAGACCCACGCTCCCAACGGTCATGCTGCGGTGAGGGTTTCGATGTGCGGATTTGGGGGGGCTCAGATCTGTCCACAACAGACGTCGAGCCGGCGACTTCTGTCCTCACAACACAGACTTCACAAGGCTTGCGCGCGGCAGGCAAGATGACCGCACGATCCAGCTGGCAAGTGGTCAGCGCTCAACAGGCGTGGGCGATTCTTTTGTCCGCTCAGAGAAACTGAGGCCACAGCATGGAGGATTTCTGTTCAGGGTTGCCCCGCCAGCTTTATGACAGAGCTGCGATGAGACCAAAGCCCAGGTCTGGAGAACACCTGTTCCCGGGCCTTTCTCAGTGCCAGGAATTCGCTTTCTGCCTGAGACCTGGCCCTTACACGCCGGTCGCTGTGCTCAGATTTTAAACCCAGAGGAGGGGCTGGTCTGGATTTAAGCAGTCCCAGTGGCGGGTGGCCATGTACTAGACTCTCAGCTCTGGGGGCCGCACCTGCCCCATGAGAGGCTTTTCACAAAGGTGTGTAGACATGCGGTAGGGAGGCCTTAGCTTCCGGCTCCTTCTCGGCCCCGCCAACACGGAGGAGGCGCCTCGGTTTCCCCAGCGTGGTTGGTGTGTGTCATCAGTTCCGGGGTTTAACAAGGAGTGAACCGGTCTCAGTTTCCAGTTAAAATAAAAAAGTTTCCAGCACTGTTTTATGTTGTGTTAACTTACGTGGAAAGAGATATTTGTTTTCCGTTTATGGCTCAGATATGTGAGTGTCGTGATTAAATGTCGAGTCAATTCAAAGACACCACTCACTCACCCTGCAGGGGGCATTTGTCTAGGCGGCACGTCACAAGGGTGCCAGAGGGGTGACTGGGCTCAGACCTGGCTTCCAATCAGGAGTTGCCCCACACCGCACACCCCTCCCCCGCCCTCCCTGGCGCCTCCCAACCATCCTTGCCCTACCCTGTTCTCCCCCCTTCACCCCAGCGCCCTGCCCTCCC